TTGACCAGTTTGTTACAGTCCCTTGGGTAGTCAACTTACAGAGGTCTGCAGTATATCATGTCATATTATATTATATTAACCAATTTTTGCAAACAGGCTGGAGAAAAAGAGGCATTAAATATGTCTTTGACAATGGCAAGTAGAATGGAGTAGAGAAAAAGCCCAGGGGTATCAGGAAGAAAAAGACAACCAACCAAGAAAAGCTGAATTTTCCAAAGGCAGAGGGTTAAATTCAGGCTGAAAAAAGATTGACGACAACAGAAGGATATTGAGAAACACGAAATATTTAGAAACCTTGAAATCAGAAATTGCTAATAAGTACACGCGGTGGTTTCTGAGCAGCTGCGGAGGTGCAGCTTCTACGCAGCACCGCCCTGCTTCGTCTCCTTGCTCCGCCCCTCGACGCCCCGCCCCTCGACGCCCGCGGCTCTTCGCTCCAGTTCCTGGGGCCAGCGGGCTCGTCGCCACTTGCAGACGGACTTCCGCGGTAGGCGCACGGCTTCCTGTTCAGAGGCTGTCTGGCGGTAGGTGGTGGGGACTCTGCCGCGACCGGTTTGGCGCGGTGACCGGGCGCCCGGGAGGCTAGAGGGTCGCATCTTGTGCCGTTGAGCCAAGGCCGGCCCTACACCGCCATGGCCCCAGTGGAGCTGGAGAACCACCAGCTGGTCCAGCCCGGAGCCGGCGGCGCGGTTCGCGGAGGCCCGGCGTCAGCCCCGGCTCCTCCTCCTCCGGGAGCCGCCCTGGCGGCGGCAGCTGCAACTGCAGCTAGCCCTGGCTACCGGCTGAGCACCCTCATTGAATTTCTGCTGCACCGGGCCTACTCTGAGCTCATGGTGTTGGCTGACCTACTTCCAAGGAAATCTGATGTGGAAAGGAAAATGGAAATAGTGCAGTTTGCTAGCCGGACACACCAACTCTTCGTTCGATTGTTAGCTTTAGTAAAATGGGCTAAAGATGTCGGCAAAGTGGAAAAATGTGCGATGATCTCAAGCTTTTTAGATCAGCAAGCCCTCCTGTTTGTGGACGCTGCTGATCGCCTGGCCTCATTAGCTAGAGACGCTCTAGTCCATGCACGCCTGCCTAGTTTTGCCATTCCATATGCTATTGATGTACTGACTACTGGGTCTTACCCACGGCTGCCAGCCTGTATAAGGGATAAAATTATTCCTCCAGACCCAGTCACGAAAATTGAAAAACAAGCCACACTTCATCAGCTGAATCAGATTCTTAGACATCGGCTTGTAACCACAGATCTTCCTCCTCAGTTAGCAAATCTTACGGTTGCAAATGGCCGAGTGAAGTTTCGAGTTGAAGGAGAATTTGAAGCCACCTTGACTGTAATGGGAGATGACCCTGATGTTCCATGGCACCTTCTCAAGCTAGAAGTTCTAGTTGAGGATAAGGAAACAGGAGATGGGCGAGCTTTGGTTCATAGTATGCAAATCAACTTTATCCATCAGCTGGTGCAGTCCAGGCTTTTTGCTGATGAGAAACCACTTCAGGACATGTACAACTGCCTCCATTCTTTCTGCTTATCACTTCAGTTAGAAGTATTACATTCCCAGACTCTAATGTTAATCCAGGAGCGGTGGGGAGACCTTGTGCAGGTGGAAAGGTATCATGCTGGAAAGTGCCTCTCCCTCTCCGTTTGGAATCAACAGGTTCTTGGGAGAAAAACAGGCACCGCATCTGTTCATAGAGTTACAATTAAAATTGATGAGAATGATGTCTCTACACCTTTACAGATTTTTCATGATCCTCCTTTGCCAGCTTTAGATTCCCAATCAGTAGAAAGAGCCATGAAGATTGACCACTTATCAATAGAAAAACTCCTGATTGATAGTGTCCATGCAAGAGCTCATCAGAAGCTCCAGGAACTGAAGGCCATTCTTAGAGGCTTCAATGCCAATGAAAACTCTTCCATAGAGACTGCACTTCCAGCCCTGGTTGTTCCCATCTTGGAGCCCTGCGGCAGTTCAGAGTGTCTGCACATTTTTGTAGATTTGCATTCTGGAATGTTCCAACTGATGCTTTACGGACTTGACCAAAACACTCTGGACGACATGGAGAAGTCTGTGAATGATGATATGAAACGGATCATTCCCTGGATTCAGCACCTTAAATTTTGGCTTGGACAGCAACGATGCAAACAATCTATAAAGCATCTGCCTACAACAAGCAGTGAAACATTGCAGCTTTCTAATTACTCAATACATCCTATTGGAAACCTTTCTGAGAATAAGCTGTTTATTAAACTTACCCGCCTTCCTCAATATTACATTGTTGTGGAGATGTTGGAGGTTCCCAGTAACCCCACGCAGCTGTCATACAAGTACTACTTCCTATCTGTGAATGCAACAGATCAAGAAGACAGCCCTATCATGGCACTGCTGCAGCAGCAGTTCAAGGAAGACGTCCAAGACTTGATTTTTCATACAAAATCTGGGAAACAGACCAGAACCAGTACCAAGCACAAGTTATCTGATGATCCATGTCCAGTAGAATCCAAGAAAACCAAACGATCGGGAGAAATGTGTGCCTTCAATAAAGTTCTAGCTCACTTTGTTGCTATATGTGACACAAATATGCCATTTGTCAGACTTCAATTGGAGTTGTCCAATCTGGATATTCCACATCAAGGAGTGCAAGTGGAAGGTAATGGCTTCAGCCATGCACTTCCCTTATTAAAAATTCCTCCTTGTCAGGGTATAAGTGAAGAAACACAAAAGGCTCTGGACCGCTCTCTTCTTGATTGCACTTTCCGATTACAAGGTAGAAATAACCGCACATGGGTGGCAGAGTTAGTGTTTGCAGACTGTCCCCTTATTGGCACTTCTACTAGGGAGCAAGGACCGTTCAGGCATGTTTACCTTACATATGAAAATGTGTTGTCTGAACCTGTTGGTGGTAGAAAAATAGTTGAAACGTTCCTTAATGACTGGAGTAGTATTGCACGATTATATGAGTGTGTTTTGGAATATGCACATTCTCTACCAGACCTACCTGCTCATCTAAATATTTTCTCCGAAGTTCGTGTGTATAATTACCAAAAACTTATTTTGTGTTATGGAACTACCAAGGGAAGTTCAATTAGTATCCAATGGAATTCCATCCATCAGAAATTTCACATTTCCTTGGGAACTGTTGGCCCAAACTCAGGTTGCAGTAATAGTCACAATACCATTCTTCATCAACTTCAAGAAATGTTCAACAAAACACCAAATGTAGTTCAGTTATTACAGGTACTGTTTGATACTCAGGCTCCATTGAATGCCTTCAACAAACTCCGCACTGTGCCGATGCTGGGCTTGACCCAGAGAACCAACACTGCCTACCAATGCTTCTCCATTCTGCCACAGTCATCCACCCACATCAGACTGGCCTTTAGGAACACGTACTGCATTGATATATACTGCCAGAGTGGTGGTGTTGTGGCAATACGAGATGGTGCCTATAGTCTTTTCGATAACAGCAAATTAGTTGAAGGTTTTTATCCTGCACCAGGACTAAAGACATTCCTGAATATGTTTGTTGACAGCAATCAGGGTGCTCAAAGAAGGTCTATAACCGAGGATGATAATCCCCCTTCTCCTATAGGAGGAGATATGATGGATTCTTTAATATCACAACTCCAGCCTCCAACCCAGCAACAGCCATTTTCAAAGCAGCCAGGAACATCGGGCACTTATCCTATTACTTCACCCCCTCCATCTTACCACAGCACCATTAATCAGTCTCCCTCTATGATGCATGCACAGTCTCCAGGAACTCTTGACCCTAGTTCACCGTATAATATGGTGTCACCAAGTGGACAAGCAGGGAACTGGCCAGGGTCACCTCAAGTATCTGGCCTCTCACCAACAACATTCATGCCAGGAATGTCACCAGCCAATCCATCACTACATTCTCCTGTTCCAGACACTTCTCATTCCCCTCAAGCTGGAACAAGTTCCCAAACAATGCCAACAAACATGCCTCCACCCCGTAAACTACCTCAGCGCTCTTGGGCAGCATCCTCACCTACTATCCTGACTCACAGTGCCTTGAACATTTTACTGCTGCCCTCACCAATGCCGGGCCTTATGCCTGGCTTGGCAGGCAGTTACCTGTGTTCTCCACTTGAGAGATTTCTTGGATCAGTCATCATGAGAAGACACCTTCAAAGAATTATTGAACAAGAAATGCTGCAGCTGATAAATTCCAATGAACCTGGAGTAATAATGTTTAAAACTAATGCACTGAAATGCAGAGTAGCCCTGAGTCCCAAAACCAACCAGACACTTCAGCTAAAAGTGACACCTGAAAACGCAGGACAGTGGAAACCTGAGGAACTTCAAGTTTTAGAGAAATTCTTTGAAACAAAGGTTGTAGGACCACCATTTAAAGCTAATACATTAATAGCCTTCACCAAGCTTTTAGGAGCTCCTACACACATCCTCAGGGACTGTGTGCACATTATGAAGCTGGAGCTTTTCCCTGATCAGGCAACACAGCTAAAGTGGAATGTTCAGTTCTGCCTGACGATCCCTCCGAGCGCACCACCGATTGCACCTCCTGGAATGCCTGCTGTAGTGCTGATATCCAAAATGCTATTTTTTCTTCAGCTTACTCAGAAAACAGCGGTCCCTTCCCAAGAACCTCTTAGTGTTATAGTTCCAATCATTTATGACATGGCTTCAGGTACAACCCAGCAGGCAGACATTCCCAGACAGCAGTACTCTTGTGTTGCTGCTCGCATGATGGTCGGCAACATTCTGAAGAGATTTGCAGAGATGAATCCACCACGGCAAGGTGAATGCACAATATTTGCAGCTGTTCACTATTTAATGGCTAATCTTATACTGTCTCCTTTTGGGCATCCATAGACATTAT